TGGTTAAATTCACTTTAACCCATCAGCTTAAACTTTTAGGTTCATTAAGGTCAATGATTAATCAGGTTTAACATGGTTTTTTTTTTCTCTTCAGCCTACTTTGAATACAAGCTCCCAAAGGAAGCGAAAAAAGAAGAAAACGACCGAACAAAGGAACCGAAATACAAGGTAATAGACAAGATCAAAGAAATATCAGAAAGCTAAAAGAATGGATGCTGAAAAAACTTTTTCAACAAGGCCTGCCAAACCAATATGACTATCCACAGAGGAGGAAAAGACTATCTAGAGGAGGATACCAAAACAACCGCTTAACACAAATTGACCACCACAGAATGAAGAAGTAATGAATTTGAAACCTACCTCCACCAAGAAAAGACAAAAATACTAAAAAATCTCAAACCTCAAATCTACTGCAATGCGGAACCAACCAAAAAATCTGTTTCCCTTAATTAAAGTCTACCCTATTCAGTGATGGTTGGTTGCTTTTGGTTTTCTCTTTTTTCGGCTAGTTGATTTGGGTTTCATGGAGTTTTTTCTCAATCATACTTGAACTTGCATCACCATTTTTGGCTTAAGAATTTGAAGAGTCTTCTTCGGAATCATCAATGGTTTGAGATTCTGAAGGGTCTTTTTTGGTAGCATCTTTTTTGGAGAGATTTGAAGGGTCTTTTTTTACCTTATGTAGGTTGAAGTCCTCACTGTTGCCTAAAGATCTCTTTTTCTGCCCTATGGAAATCAAAGTGTTCAAGGAAAGTCAATATTTTTTCTTGCATTCTTTTTCAAGGAAAGCTAAACACAACTGAAGTTCTTCAAAAGAAAATATCTTCCTCAGCTTCTCTTCCATCTTCTTGCGTTCTCTGAGCTACCAGTGGCGAAAGCCTCAAACATCTTTATTTCCATTGCTCTTATGCAGCACATTGAGTTTATTGTTTTGTCATTTTAATTTTGGTTGGCAGAAAGAAATTTCACTGCATTAATACTGTTAGTGCATTTAAACCTTATATCTTGAAAATCAGAGTCAGTAAACAAAAGTAAGCATCAAGTAAATGATCAAAAGTTATCACTTCTCCTTTAAGTAATGTTAAAAAGCTTCCTTTTTGGCTTAGAGCATCTACATCCTGATTGGTTGTCCCAGTCATATGCTTGATGACAAAGTCAAAACTTTGTAATAAAGATAACCAGCTAGCATGCATGTGACTAATTGATTTTTGTGTGTTTAAGAATTTAAGTGAATAGTTTTTTGAACAAGATACACCTTCTCATTGATTAATAAAAAAAAAACAAAATGTTCAAAGGATATAATCTCCTAGAGGCAGAGAAAAGAACCAAAACAAAGGAAAAGGAAAACAAGAATCCAAAAAGGAGAGAACATTGAAAAGATCAAGAACCGTAAAAAACATGAAAAATAAAGAAGAGCTTCAAATCCTATTACTAAAATATTTGATAGGGTGGTTATATTGAGAAAAGACAGCTCCTACGCCAATTCCTAATGCATCTACAGCCACTTCAAATGGTTGGTTGAGGTCTAGTAAGATTAAAACAAGGTTGCGACTAGGTTTAGTTTTGATAGTTTGGAAGCTTGAAATCTTCTTGGTTCAAAATCTATACGGTCCCCAAAAGCATTGTTTCCTTGTCCCATAGACTGAGCTTCTTGGATTGTTCTTCTTTCATTCTTTTCGAGGTTAAACAGCCTGTCAATTCCTCTTTAATAGGGAATTTAAATCCGTATGAATCGAAGGGTCTGCAATCTCTCTTTCTTCAATAACTTCCTTAGTTTGCTTCTCCTGATTGTCTTCTCCTCTCAATCCTATCGATGTATTAAACAAGTAATCCGTAGGTGCCGCAATAACTTTTCCAGCTTATTTATTTGTAGACTTTCCTCTTCCCTAACTTCCTGTATTTTCTCATTACCTACACCATTTAATGGTGCTTCTGCATAACTATAAGAAGGGGGGATGTTAACTGCTAACCTTTCGACTTCCATTATTCACAGAAACGTTCAATGTCCAAAGGGTTCTCAAGACTCATCTGATCGAGGCTGGTAAAGTAAGTCCGAATGAATCTTGAGTTCGATCTGTTAATGCCAATGATTCTGACTTGAAAGACTCCCAACTTTGCATCGCTAATTTCTATAGAGGCTGGCAAAAACCCACTGCAATTCTTTTTCACTCGAATAAAAGCTTCCTTGCAATCAATGAGATTTTGAGTTTTAGATGATAAACTCACCAACCCTCTACAATGGCCTCAAAAGTTCCCCTTCTCCAGAACATAAAAAGTAGGTCAAGAATTTTAATTAATCCTCCCTACCCAAACACCATATTTTTCCTGTTATGTTTCTCCGAATTCCACAATTCAAGTTTTAGAAACTTCTCTATATTCTTCGATAATCCTGACAGCTCTTTCCTACTCAACAATTTTCCATCTTCAAACCTATTACTCCTTTGTCTGCCATGAAAGGATTAATCATGAATCCCATCGAAAAGTGATGTTGAACTGCTGAGGAGGTTTCCTTCCGGTCATCATGAGCACAAATTCTTGTAATTACCCTGGTCATATCTCAAACAAACTTTTAGGACTTCACATTCCTCCTGACCCACTAATTTCTCGAAGTTTTGGGTTTGGAAGACATTCACCCCATCTGTAATCCTTCAGGCAAACTCCCTTCTCCTGATGGAACACCAAGAGCTACCTCAGCATAAGATCGTGGCTTCCTCTGTTCTTCTTTGCTGAAAATCTGAGATTTCAACCTCCCTTTTTGCTTTCCACTGTTTAGCTTTCCTTTGTTTAGTTCTACACATGGAAGCTTGCCTCTATGGAGAGCAAAACAATTGTCCCCTTTATTTTTTTCTTTAACATCGTTCCTCCTCAGTTCATATGTTTTTCACAAGTTTCAGAACTTGGTCTTCTGTCGTTCTCACCAAAAAGTTCTTCGACATAATCCAAAATTCTTCCAATTCTCCATCACAGGTCCAACTGGAATTACAGCACTCTTTCTTCCTCCCGTACTTTGCCAGATCACCCACTCCAAGAACCAAGTACCAAGAATTGTTGATTTTGAATTTTTGCACGACACGTACCAAGAGCATCACAATCTGATAATAAAACTGAGCATGAACCACTTTTTGATTTACCTCAACCATGTGATTTTCAAACTACAAGAATTGAGAGGGGTGAAGGGGAACCAGTGCTTTCCTAGAAACATCCTCCAACATGAACAAACCATTCTCAACCCAAATGCATACGAATTTACCATCAATAGCAATACATTAGGTACTAACTTCCATTCTTCAAAAAACGACTGATTCACATGATAAAAACCATACTAATCCTTAAATGGTCAATCCAAGAACAATCTCTCACCTCGTTGAAATGATTCACCTAGGAGGAAAACGGAGAGGGAGGGAAAGAGAGGAGACAGAATAGAGCATACTTACCTTTTAAGAGTTGAGTCCAGGAGGAAATTACTTACTCTAAACCAGTCAAAGGTAAGTTTCGTGCCATTTATTATCCTTTTACAACAAAACTTCATGAACTTTATTACAACCATCTCCATTTAAAGAGAAATCCTTTTTGTCATAAGAAACTGTTCACTTTCATTCCAAACTTTCTATATTGTTGAAACAGAACTTGACCCTTAATAAAGACTCACTCCCAATTGTTTCGCATGAAAATCAACTTCATGCGTATGCTTATTAATTAAAACACATGCATCTGAAAAGTTATAAAAAATAACTCCTTCATTATCCTCGCAAACATCATCATAAAAGCATGCTCCTTCACAAACGAATCTGAGAGAGACCCTTCAAATTCCACTTCAAATTAATTTCATACTTTCAAGAACCTTAAAACTAAAACGAATCCTAAAAATCATCTTAAACTTGAGTCAAAAACTGAAGCAAACTCAAAAACAGAAGTACTCAGAGAGGAAGACCAACTTTGATATAGAGAATACCTTGAAAACCCAATGCTTAAGGAGGAGAGAGAAGAGAGCGTTTTCACCCATGGCTCTCCTTTTAGTTCCTCATCTGCTACTTTTGTATATCCTTGTTATTAAATACAAGTATCGTTTCTTACTAAAAATAAAAATCAAAGAAGAAATCAAAAATTTGAAGAAAATGCCCCAAAACCAGATAAAAAACCTCCATTGCCGAGAAAACCATTCACCTTCCAACCAAAAGCTCTTCATGCACACCTACCTTATTGATGGTGCAATCAAATGCTCTTCAATCAAACTTCCATATTAATGTCTCCAAGCACACTTCCCATTCATGATGTCTCAACCAAATGTATTTGTTTATATAAAAATATAAAAAGATCAGTAAATATTTGAAGATCTATTTTATTTAAAGATTTTTTAATTAAGAAACAAAAACTTTCCATGAGATTTGAAAAGTTACAAGTTGCAAACTTTCTGCAACAAACAAATAATAGAAAAGACCTTCCCAGCTACAAACTAACATTGACACAGCCTTTAAATTTTCCAAATATTAATTTCTCTCATTAAACTAAACAGAAAAAACCCTCCAAGGAAAGCATTGTCAAACTAACAAAAAGATTTCAGACTAGCATTTAGTTTAGTGATGGAATAATTTCCAAAAGAATTGGATTGTACACACCAAGAAGCTATTGATTTATAATTTATTAAATTTGGACCAAAAGGATTTTAGATAAACATCATAACGTTCATCATAATACTGTTCAAAGAAAGTGCATAATGATACATTCTAATACAGCAGAACTAACCAGGCTACATTTACATTTAAAAAGCACAACAGTTGCACATCAAATTTTTTTTAACAAAGATACAACTTCTTATTGAAATACTGAAAAGATAATACAAGTGTTTAAGTCAAATTCCGCATCAATTATGCATAGGCATTGTCTTTATTGGTCCATGTAAAAGAGGGAAGAAAATAAACTAACATGTAATTGGATAAGCAGGCAACTTAAGACAACATTATGTATGGAGTATTCAGGACTAGCAAAACAGGCAAAGGAACCTGAGCACGTAATAGAAGCCCATCAAGCAGTGCTGAAAAGATAGATAAAAATACATCTTCCACATGTTTCCTATTTCCCGAATTGTTCTCATCAAGGCCAAGAATATAACTCGCAAGAGAAGACCTGAGAAGAGAATCAAGAATTCACATTCTTATAATCTTCACAGCACCAGAAAGAGATATACCAACAAGGTACACGTAATACAGGAATAAACATAGTAGTTGATGTAACAACCTTGTCCCAAACAATTCACAGAAAAACGAGAAAAATCACTAGAACACGTACAGTGCACATTTTGTTTTTGTACTTTTATCAAGAAACATGAAAGAAGGAGATTAAGCGTTAAACTTATATTCAAGAGATGAGAGAAAATGGAAATTATTTTCGAACCACAAGAAAACCAACTGCCCAACTTCCTAGCGACCAAGAATCTATCAAGAAGACGGCAACCACCCTGTGAATCCATCATCACCTGAATAATCGAACAGTTCAACATCACTATGGAGTTAAATTCCCTAATATTCCTCGTGACCCTGCCCATTAGACTTGTCCCAACAATGATGTATGACATTGCGATCCACAGCCAAACACAAACCGCAATTGTAGAAGTCAAATCATCCACCCAACTTAAAGCTCATTCCAACTATCCTCCCCCAAACTATACCATATTTCTACAAAAATATGGCCAAAAGTATCACTATACAAAATGAGAAACTCAGTTGTATAATAAACTTACACAAAAGTGAACTCTTCTATTTTGATTTGGAAACAGATAATGATCAAATTTTCTCATGCATCAAAATATTCATTACATTACATCAGATGCTAGACTTTCTAGGCAGTAGAGCTTTGGATTCACACTATATTAAAGACATATATGATGTGTCAAAAATATTGCAAAACACCATAAAATATTAGCAAGAATATGAAAATACCAAAATTGCAATGTAGAGTCAGCAATCTCCCAGTCTTCACTTGGAAAAGCCACACAACTGCATCAAATTAGAACAAGGTAAACTAAAATGTGTGTGACAAAGATCTAATACAAGACGCAAGGCCTTGTTTTTATTACATTTTAACTTGTACCATCTAATTGTGAGTATTGAGTAGCTGTCTCAGGAACCAAGGGTTGCAAGTCCCATAGCCATGCTTACTATTTTACTCAATCGTGCACATATTGACTATTCTTAGTTTAAATCCCTTGTACGTGAAACCACTCAACAAGGGTAGTTCCACAGTTTTGCTTACAAATCTCAAGATTGGAGCCCTCAACCTTAGAAGTACTCACGGCACAGGTTATTCAATATATTGAGAATAAGTCGCTCCTCAATAAGATGGTCAAATAAAGGTCATCATAACCCTATTCATTTAAATTACATCACTACAGAACATATTTGGAAAACTGACATCCAAAAACCCAACAGATGATCACCTCAAGAGTGCATCAGCTAATGCGAGAGCTTCAGCATTGGCTTCTACAATCAAGGATGGTGCCTGACATACATTTCAAAATAATGTTTATCAGAACTTAGAAAGGGACAGGTACATCAAGGAATAATTCATGGAACTAAATGTGCTTTATCTTCATTTTAAGCTTTTTTTTTTTAACAAGAGACTGATATTTTCATTGATGTAATGAAAAGAGAAAGAAGAAAAAAACAAAGGAGATACAAAGAGAGAAACAAGATAACAAACCAAAAACGCCCAAAATACAGGTTCCAAAACAGAAACTGTAAAGGAAACATCAAAGATAAGAGCTTCCAATTTAAACAAATATCAAACGAGTTATAGTCCGAAAAGATATTAGAAAGGGAACACCATTAGATAGCTCTTTGAAAAGCCAAGTAAAACCAAACCGAAGAGCTGCTAAACTTGTTTTGAAAAATTCTATGGTTTCATTCCAACCAAGGAAGCGCCGACATGTAGAAAATAGCTAAGTGTCGGTGTCGGATAAGTGTTGGACACCGACACGCTCGGACACGCTTCCAACACGTGTCAGACATGGTAATTAGCGGGTCCTTTTTTTTCTTTTTATCGGACACACCAGCGACACAGGATGGACACAGCGGGACACGACATTAAGAGAAATAAAAAATTTTCCAATTCCAACCTCATTTCTTCTCCTTATCCCTCATACTTTGAGATTTTATTTTCTAGCAGTGTTGATTGTTGTTGAGGAGAGCCCAGTGTAAGGAAGAAGTCGGTTCTTTGATTTTATTTTCTGTCTTATTTTCGAGCCTTCGAAGTTCAAATCAAGAGGCTGCCTTACAAAATAATCAGAATAGCCTACTAGAGGTGTTCGGTTTGAAGAGCAATTCAGAAACTCAGCTGCATCTTTTTGTCTCTTGTGATTATGCTTCTCGTTTTTGGGACTTGATCCTCTCAATGTTTGGTTGGACGACAGCCCTTCCGATCTATCCACCTCTCTCTTCAGAAGCTTGCCTAGTGGGTCATCCCTTCAAAAAGGAAAAGAAACTTCTATGGATGAATTTCATTAGAGCCTTCCTTTGAGTCACTTGGAGAGAGAAATCAGCACATCTCCAATGAAAAAGAACTCACATTTGATCGGTTTATTGAAGTTATAGTATTCTTGGTAGTATCTTGGTGTAAATGCTCCCCCATTTCACACCTATAGCTTTTCATCTCTTTTGTTCAACTGGAAAGGCTTATTGCAATCCCTAGTATTGGGCCCACTTTTGTAATTTCATATCACTAACAAAACTGTTTCTTACCAAAAAAAAAATGTTTGGTAGTTTTGTTGTGAGTGTTTCTGTCATCAAAGAATATGACTCAGTAAAACAATTGAGCCCTAGGAGGAATTTGAATTTGACAAATCTGAATCCTTGTACCTTTTCCAATAATTTGGACGTTTGAAGAATCAAATAGATTTTGGGAGATGAAGAGTCTCGGAACTGGAATTCTTCTATATATATGGAAGAAAAACTTGATTTGTAGGAGAATGTAGTTAATAATGAGAGCAGGAAAATGGATTTACAGGTTTCAGGCTTTAAGGAGGTCTCGGGTTTTGTTTCCCCCATTAAAATTTGTTCTAAAAAAGTAAATCAGGTGGCTCACTTGGTTGGAAATTCAAAATTCATCAATAGAATTAACCTTTCAATTCATTCCTTTATAAATTTCTCTCCAGACAAGCTGCCACCAAATAAATTTATTCCGCCTTTTCCTCTTTCTTACACCACGCGAAAGTATAACTCAAAGATAGCCAAAGGTTTTGATTCCATTGATTCAGAGGGAAAGGTGCAACTAAATTTGATTGACTTTAAATGAAGAGAGACATGAGCTCCAAAATAATCAGAATAGCCTACTATTGGCATTGGTTTGTGAGAAAAGTTGCTTACATCCTCTTTCATATGGAATCATTTTTTTTTTTTAACAGGAAACGAACTTTTCATTGATAAATGAAAAGGAACATAAAATGTTCAAGGATACAAACTCCAAAGGAGTGAGAAAGATAAAACATAAAGTT